ACAAAATAATTTCTATACTATTATTAATCATTAATGTACAAAACAAAGTTCTATACAATCATCGTTAGTATAACACAGCAAATTTATAAATACACATTTATTTTTCTATACCTATATATAGAGTTCTGAAACAAATTTTTACCAAATAACTTTTATAATTGATAAATTTTTATATTAAATAGGAGGTTTTACTAAACCATTCAGAAATTTTTAACTGATTTTTCTCTATGAATCTGAAATAAATCTTATAAATTTGAAAAATATAATTATATTTCGCTTAGTTATGGCCTAATCCACGTGATTATTAATTGAAAAAATTATTTGTACTTCATTTCATTTATTGCTTTATGTCGAAACTTATATAATGTTGTTTTGCATAGGCTATGCGCTTGAAAATCTATCATATAACTAGTGTTGCCCAAATGCGAGACCGAGACGAGTCTTTGTCTTGCAAACTCAGTCTTGGTCATGGTATTGGTCTTGCGCAAGAGTCTCGCAACAGTCTTGCAGTTAATTATTAGCTTATTACTATAGATATATTACTATTATAGAAACCGAACTAAGCCGGAATGAAAAATTAGAGGAGTTAAATGCAAAAGTATATTGGTTATACCAATTATTTACATATAGTAACTAAGATTATCGAGTATTAGTAACTATTTTGCCTTCGATTTTATTCAACGGAACGATTTTATTCAAAAAATCGATTTTTTTTTTTACAACACTTGAAAAGTGCAAGACCCAGACCGATTTCGGCCAACACTACATATAACCCAACGGTATGCGGATGATATCCTGTACCCCGAAACAATCATCGAGGACATAGACTTTCGATCAACAGACACTGATAAGAGAAACAGAGCAAATCAACCTACATTTAAATGAAGTTAAAACGAAATATATGATGAAGAGAAGAATAGTTGGGGTGTTCAGTCAAAAAGGAAGGCAAAAATAAATGATAATATTTATTTTTTACATATGCCAGGGCATATGTAATATGTAAAAAATATATGTAAAATATATTTTATCATATATGTAAAAGAATGTAATATATGTAATATAAGGCATATATGTAAAAAATAAATATTATCATTTATTTTTGCCTTCCTTTTTGACTGAACACCCCAACTATTCTTCTCTTCATTATCCACAACAGTCAACCAATTACCAATTAAGAAATATATGACGGTAAGCAGAAAAATGTACCCGTATAACAAGATTAGCCTTGATGGGGAAATCGTTTCAGGAGTAGACACTCTCGAATAAGTTCAATAACTCGACTCCACAGTAACCTCAATTAATGACCAACCTTCAGGAATATAACAGCAAATAATTATAAGCATATAACAGCAAAGCTTTCTTTGCTCTTTCGAAACTACTGAAATCCCGAACAATTTCTATAAAGTTTCTAATTAAGGGTGTTCAATGTTATGATAAAGCTATTTTAAAATCTATCGAAAAGGACAAATAAAAGAACCTTTTCAGTATATATATTATGATATAAAGGCACGGAGGTTAAGATGGGCATGGCGCATTCCTTAAAGTAACTATCAGAAAGTATCTATAAAACAATGAATGCCAAGATAGTTAACAAGAAAGTACATGAGAGATGATGCAGAACTGCGTGCAGCAGACTGGAATGCAATGATCCAAGACAAAGAGAGGTAGTGAAATCCGAAAAATTAGAAAAAGATTTTTTACAAATTTTCACTATTGATTGCTTGTATATGATAACTTTTGGTTTACCATTTTCAATATTGAACCATTGTCATCGACCACAAAATTCAAAAACTTAATCCCCTCTCAAAATTTGAGATTTTACGTTTCAGGATATGTAGAATACGAAAACGAATATAAATTTGTTTGACCGTCCGCGCAATTTCTCCAAAACTACTGGACCGATTTTTTCAAATTTGGATATAAAATCAGAGTTCACCAGAGGATAATCCTCCTTCATCGGCATTACTATCCGCTTTTTACTTTCAAAATAGCGGCCGAAAAACCTGCGTTGCTATAGACTGTAGCGCCTTAACGAATGTACCGATTTCAATGAAACTTCGCTAAAGTCATTTTCTCGACGCCCTTTAAATTTATCTATACAACGTACTTCAACGAAAAGAAGCTGAAAAATTATTTTTTTAATTTTACGAGAGGTGGTAAAATTAAATTCCGAATAACTCAAAAAGTATACATTTTTAGTCAATAATATATTGCTTTTTTAAGAGTTTACGGAATTTCCTAAAAAACAAAAAAAAAAATCGTTAAAATCGGACAATAAGGAGCAAAGATATTGTCTCTAGTTTTTTTTTTTTTTTTTTTTATATGTTTTGCTGCAAAGGTCATATCCTTTGATTTGGTTTCGAATTTTGAATGTTATTTTTTTTAGCATATTACTAATGATTAAAAAAAATGTTTAGTCCAATAACTGTAATCATCTTTTATTTATATATTTTTTTGTAACTAGGAAGGTAATGTTACTTCAGATGTATAATTGTTTGGAAATAATAAACCATTGTGGAATAATTCGCAACTTTTTTTATATTGTGAGCTCATTTGCGATTGCATTGTACCAGTTTGTTAATGTTCAATTGTCTTATTATACTATCGACCTTTCGGAACGTAAGTTATCAATTTCTATTTTTCGATGATAAGAGTCTATTTAACAAAGGATCTACGAAACCTTATGAAGTTAGCTCAGTTGTTGCGGCGAAAGTTCGGGATTCGATTTTTAATTTCAACACCAACAATGTCCCTCCTGATCCGAAAATCATCGAACCGAATGAAATCGAAACGAGTGGACCGAATGATTAATTTATTCTTTTTTTTATCCTGAGAAGGGTGAGAGGGATTGGATTAATCCCATATATCGGGACCATTTGCTACATATATCTTTTTTGTGGCCGCTGATAGGGGCGCCGTTTCAATCAAGAACCGGCCGAATTAAAGCTAAACATACTCGGCAATTAACATCTTTTAGAACCCAGAGGTTAATTAATTACCACAGGTGGAAATTAGGTTGATTTTAATGTTCAAATTAAAGGGAACCAATTAATTTCTGGACACAGTTTGCGAGGTGCAACGGTCCGGGGCCTTCAGCGGAAGAATAATAAAGGGACAATCCCCTCCCCTTGTTTAATATTTCAAATTAATTATTTTACCCGTTTTTATTTAATAATTTTATTTTAGATAATATTGTTTATTTTAAGGCGATGTATCAACGATTTTTTTTTTTTTTTTGTATAATTTAAAAATAACCAGATTTATGATTTAGAGAAAAGTGTTGGTTATAGTATATATTATTTCTAAAATGTGTTTTTTTGTCGCCCATAACTTCGTCAATTCTTCATCAAATCCAATGATTGAATACTCATTTTGAAGATATTCTTCTCCTTCATATGCGAAAAATAGTCCTATCCCCCCGAAATTTCTAGAAGAAAAACAAACTTTATTTGAGAATAACTCAGAAAGTATTGCATTTTTTTTCTTGATTGTACCAAGGATAATTAGAAAGATTACTAAATTCCCTAAAAAAACAAAAAAAAAATCGTGCAAGTATTAAAAAAGATACAGTACATTAGTTTTGGTATACTTAATAATGTCTTCCTGTTTAAAGATTTTGTACTGAGGAGTAGAATAGTCTACTACACTTTTTTTCCTGGCTGATATATTATCTTTATTATTTATGAAAGATATTTGGTTGTTCTTACATTTTATTTTATTTTTCATAGTTTAGAAAATCCATGATCGGAGCATTATTTTGTCTTTATTACTTTTATTATCTTTCCAGTCAGCGTTTAAAAATAGGTCTTAGCAAAACAATTTGTACCAATATTTATATATAATTTTATATATATATATATATATATATATAATATATATATATATATATATATATATATATATATATATATATATATATATTCTTTTGGTATTTCTTCACTAAACAAAATTTTCTGCGAATTATTCGCACGGGCCAACTAGTTTTATATATTTGAATCATAAATAAAAAATATAATAAACAAAACATATATCATTTAGTAAATTTGTAGTCTGATTAATTAGTTTGCTAATTGCATATGTTTAAGTTATTCCCAGATGCAGTATATATTCTCATATTTCTATATAATGGCTATTATAAAGCCTATATCCATCAAAGAGACACCATTTAAAAATTATTTTCCTACATCTAATACTTACAACATAAAAAATTTACCATGTATCAAAATATATAAATATAACAATTCCATTTATCATAGAGCATTTGAACCACCCCACAAGTCCAAAATAAAAAATAAACCCATATGCCACTAATATCTCTTAAACGGAGTTAACGATTTTATTTTCCTACTGCTAGCGCCAAAACGATGACAGCATCTAGAATTTGATGAAAAGTGAAATCTTCGCTTTTAAATTCTTTAAATCTGTATAAATCTAGCAAATCTCCGATAAAACTAAGGAAAAAAGTTACGAGAAAAATACTGGCATAACTTAATAAGTAGATAATCAAAGAAAGTTAATAAAACTCCGTACAAAACAAAAACAAATCAACGAAACCGAATCAGTATTAACAAAAATACAACTTGTTGAATTCTGTACTCATGATTTATTTAAAAATATTTTTCCCGGATTCTGATGAAAACCAGATTAGTTCTCATTATTTTTAAAAATAAATCGAATGCCAAACATGTTCTTGAATATCTCAAATGATTATTTGAAAGATGATTAAATATTCTAAAAACCCAAAACATTAAAAAATATATATATATTTTCAGGGATTTAGAAAATAACTTATAAGTGGTCAGAAAACGTATTTGAGTTAGCACATTAGATATTTTACATTATTAGATAGAAAAGTGGTTTCACCAGAGCTCAAAATTAAATTATGGAAGCCAGATGACGACAATGCCTGACATAGTAACATTAGTGACTATAAAACACGGAAGGGGTCGGTCGCACTGACCTGGGATCATTAATCAGTTCTCTAATTGACATATAAATACGGCGGGTGATGCACGAGGCCATGTGAGCATGGCAACAGCACGTTCCTCGTCGGACGGGACAGGATGCAGCGGCGGTCGATAGCGCATTTTCAGGAGGGCATCGCTAGTTTTCTGGAAACCTCAGGGCTGAAGACCCAGAAGTACGCGGAAGAAACGTGAGGAATAAGCTACAGGAATGGGGCATATCAAGTACAAGAAGTTGCGACTTGAAGCAAATCTTTCATTCCTGAACGAATGTTCAAAAATTCTATTCCTCGTCGACAGAATATGCAATTCTCTGGAAGCGATTTGGCCGACCTGGCTAGTCTGATAAGCGAAGTTAGAAGAGGAAAAAGAAAATTAAGAGTTCAAATTCCGGTGCTCGGTGGGACTTTTAACCTGGCAACTTTCCCTCGCCTTCTTCCCTGGCCCGAGAAAAAAATTCGAGTAGTCTAAAATGCAGGCTAGGCGAGGACAAAAAAAAAAAACAAGAAAAAAAACGTATATGTTATTTTAAACTTATTTTACAAACTTTCCAGTGATAATTTACAAGCTGAATTTGAACAGAAATAATACTGATAAAAATATTTACTGTCTTCTCTGAACACATCATCTAAAAAAAAAAAAAAAGATCATGGTATCACATAAAATTATTAATATCATAATTGTGGGTAAATGGTTGACTGTCGTGAACAAAGAAGAGAAGAATAGTTGGGCTAATCAGTCAAATAAGAAGGCAAAAATAAATGATAATATTTATTTTGACATTTGCCGACGTTCCGACCTGAAGTTTATGCCTTCATCAGGGCTAAGAATTTATCTGGTTCTTCAGGTCGAAACTTCAGCAAATGTCAAATATGTCAGCAGTTAATATTATCACTTATTTTTGCCTTCTTATTTGACTGGTCACCCCGACTATTCTTCTCTTCTTTATTAATATCATATTTTATAAAAAATGGCAAAGACGCCATCAAATCTCATTTAACGCAAGCTTAATTTTGGTTGAGATGGAAAAATAAATTGCGTTGGTTGAGATGGAAAAATAAATTGCGTTAAATGAGATTTGAGAGATGGCTTCATGGGGATTCTTAGAGATTTCTCAAGGCACACAAGCGATCCCAAAAAGAGGTAAGCGAACGATGGATTTTTCGAAGTAGCTGTTTTATGAAAAGGGATTTGCCATAGGCAGGGTACAGTTTTATCATTAGAAACCCTGATTTCATATTTTTTTATTTATTTTTTTTTAGAATTCCGTGACATTGGGAATATTCATACAACCAGTGCTGAATTCTAAGACTTTTAAATGGGCGAATTAGCCTGAAGATAAAGATAAAGAGAAAATAAAGATTTGGAATGGATATTTGGAGAAAAAAAAGGTTTCTTGAAGTGTTCCTAGAACCAATAGATCTATATTGCCATTTTATATACCGCGGACTATTATAATTTAGTCAAACAAATATTGCTTTGAACTTTGAATTTCTGTTATTATTAGAAGATTGAGTGTACCAGAATAAAGATCAGTTTTTCATTTAATTTTATTAATGGGAATAATTGTAGCTGGAGTGCATTAGAGAATTTAATAAAAAAAAAAATATGGTAATAATGTTTCTAAATTCTGTACAAATTAAATTAATGCTTAAGTGTACATGAGTGTCGTAAAAATGGCTAAAGAGACCACCGATGGTTGAGGGTTTAATTTAAAATGGGGATTTTATGGGGCAATAAATGGCATCTTTTAACCACCTCCTGATTAGAGGTTTTACAAGCTTTTTCACTTAGCCCTCATTGCCATTTTTTCCCCGATCTCTTCCCTCCCTCGGGAATTTTCTTTTTTAACCACGGCCAATGACTGGTTTAGAACACGGGCAATTAGTATAGCTCTGTAATTATCGACTTATTTTAATTGCCGTTTTCTTCCCTCGCCTTGCGGTATGTATCTCCTTTTACGGCGCCGAGGTGTAAAATGATACAGGATTCAGAGCTCTCTCATTGTGAAAGTGTAAAAGTGCTTGGTTCGATTTGATTGCCACGGAAAATAATTCTTAATGACCTTGCTCTTATTATTGAAGAATTGAAGTTTTATTTTGGAGGTCCATATTAAGCAAAAAAATCATATATAATTAGGTTGTCATTGGAAAAATCCAACCCCACATCCTTATATCTCTAAACTACAGGTAAAAACATACTAACCCGTCAAAGTTTCACGAACTCAGGCATTGTTATTAAATTAAAAATTAAAAAAATAATAAAGACACCCATATCGTGATGCCCTACTCATTAAAAAAACAAAATAAATTATAATTGGCAAATGGTTGACTGTCGTGGATAATGAAGAGAAGAATAGTTGGGGTAGTCAGTCAAAAAAGAACAGTCATCTTTTTTGACTATGTTTACTTCACCATTCCACACTTTGTACCTGTTATAATTATTTGTCTCTTGTTCTTACTATTGTCATTATTCTCACAACTGTAATTTGTCTGTAACTGTCATTTTACTGTAATTTATATGTTTCTCATACCTTGTTATCTGGTTCTTTTCTTAGACCTGATGATGGCCTGATCTTCAGGTCGAAACGTCGGCATATGCAAAAATAAATATTATATTTATATATTTATTAAATATTATATTTATTATATATAATATTATATATTTATTTTTGCCTTCTTTTTTGACTGACCACCCCAACTATTCTTCTCTTCAAAATAAATTATATGTTTTAATAAAAAGAAGTAAGATTTTCGTGTGTTTATGAAAAAAAAAATATACAGGGTATATTTTAATGGCCGAACTCTGGGTGGTGATTCTAGACAAAATTTTTAATAAAATATTCCATTCTTATTCAAATATTCATCAAGTTCTTTGCCTTCTGAATCACCTTTCATGTTTTCTAATAAACCATTTTCAACCAAATAATCCAACAGCTCAGTCTTTTCACTTCGCTTTGGCATTTTAAAAATAAATAAAAACGTTAGTAGATCAATTAAGAAATCAAAAACATTGTTTACAGTACAGCCACAACCTCACTATAACTAATAACACGTTAGCACAAACAGGTTATTTACCATTCATTCAAAATTTGTGCTGAATGCTTAGCATGATAAGCATTTACAACAAGTGCACGAATACCCATATTATCTCAAACTGTTAAAATGTTAAAAGTTGTTTGTGATATAAATTTGAGAATTCCGAACTGATTATAAACTGGAAGGCCTTAATTTTTTTCGAAAATTTGAAGATTTGGTAGAACCCTATGGCTACATCTAGTATGTTCATAAATTGTTAAACTGGGCGATTAGAGTTTACAACGTCTTTCTAGTAAATTGGAAAACAACTCATATCGTCTGATTGACATTTTATTTACAAAGTTTTGACTAAAATAAAAAATAAGATATCTTCGGAACGGAGAAGTGTTCGAAAATCTCACACCACAATTTTTGTTGTTTTTGAGTAGTGATGATGATTCCCAGCGAACGTTGAACAAAACAATCTAGTGTTCATGCCCGCAGGATATCTGTAAATCAATTTAATTATTACTGTAAATAAACAGGCAGAATATTATTAAATTTATTTTATGCAGTGATTTTAGTGAAGGTATCTATGTCAACACTTAGTCCAACCAAAAAATCTAACATAGCTTTAAGTCTTGGAATATATTGGATTCAGATTTATCAAGATTCCAAATTATAAGGATCATGAAAAACTTTCCTCCAATCATAATCAGTTATAATTTTTCATAGACTTTCAATGTTTATCTCTCCAAGTAAATTACTGTAGGTAAGACTTTAAAACATTTTCGACTGCCTGACAACAAGGTAGCCTATAATGACAATTACATAGTTGAACCGCAAAGTGGAATAAGTAAGGTATGAGCTGAGATGGGATTATCTGATGCTTGTTGGAAAGTAAAGACCTCCAGCGCCTATCAAGCGATTAGATATTCCAAACAAAAAGGTGTAGAGAGGAGAAGGCAGGCATTGCCTCAGGAATCGTTGAATTTTAAAACTGCCTTCACAACCCTCGGAGCCCTGGAATGTTGAGGTTGCACAGGTGTCCGCGAGCAACAAAACAATTAAATGAGAGGTGTTCTCCGGTGCGCTACTAAAGGAAACCAACAAAGACATCAGCTGTCCCTTGGGGTGACAGATGGCTGCCCAGCCGGATGTCCTTGATCCGATACAAAAATTAATTATCGATAAGTTGCTCGGAGGGACTAGAGTGTTAGATAGAGTACAGGATCGAGGTGGCAGTGGGCGAGGTTCCCGCCTGATTTATGCCGTGCACCGGGAAATGGGCGGGAACATTAGCATACTCCCCTTCCCTTTTGCAGCGGCTAGTTCCCCAAGTCCCCGCGCAATTCTTTTTCATGAAACATAACTTCTTTCAACTTGGATGTCCTGGCGATAAAGAATCTGCAGGGGATCTACCGAAGAGTAGGCAAGAAAGGATCCCTACCTGTATTGCCCTCGTCTTGTAGCTATTTATACGGTTCTTGTGGCTTGCCTGCTTCGTTGCTTTCTTTATGGCAATCCTTTGCAATTCCTAGATTTCGCAAGCATGTCTTAGCTTAAGTATGTTGTCTAGATATGTGTCAGTTTGAACTACCTTGTAGTAAATAAATATTCAAAACAAAATAATGAAGACTTCACTTTCTCCTAAACGAGTTAGTTGGTTCTGTTTTCTTAACGTTTGTGCAGTGACGGATCTGATGAGAGGTCCAATACAGGAGAAAACCGCAACAAATTTCTTTTCATTTCGGTTATGAGGGTTAGGACCATCCATATCCTCTTAGATCTTCGGGACGACGTTCCATGCTATTCCCTTCCAACTTAGCACTATCAACCCTTCTAATCCTATTCGTAAATTTCCTTAGTAACCATCACATCATTTGAACATTTCAAATGAAAGTTAAATTTATTTTTAAAATATGGTCATTACTCACTTCTGTTTCGTAATAGTCGAATAAACCACAATTGGAATGGTAATAACAATAAAAGGTTAATATGTTGAATTTCTAATAACTTTTGGATTTTGCATTGAATAAATGGCATTGATTAAAATTACATACAAATTACGAAACTAATTTTTATATATTGGAGAAGGCTCAACAT